ATAACTGGTAGATTGTTTACTCATTACCATACTTCTGACTACATTGACAGCTAAGTTTTCACAGATTTTAATCTGTTACCTCATTACCTAAACTCAGTTGAAAGACTACTTGTGTTGTTAACTCATGCTGTTATCTCTTTTGTAAACTTATAAGCTACAGGAAACCCACTCAGATCTACCTCTCATGGATGCCATCCAGATAAGTACATCTGCCTAAAATTACTTACTACCTATAATAAAGGGTGGGATCCCTCTGGGTTTCAAATATACATCTTAAAAAAAAAATCTTTCTCCAAGTGTTCTTAATCTTATTTCCTACATCTTGTCAAGTCCAGGTGCATCCAGTACAGCTCCAGAGAAGCAACCTTCAGCTGCTCCATCTCCTGCCACACACACAGACACAGCTGCTTCTACTGGACCTGACCCTGGACATCAGAAAACAGCCAGCTCTTCTAAGACGGGACAAAGATCCCCCATATCCATTCTTATATATATAGAAATTAAAAAAAAAATCCTATCTTGCCATGGAAGCACCAGTGTGTCACAGATTATACACCCTTTTGCCCAAATAGCTTTCCTTGCAAATGCTCATTGAAATGGGTCATTGGTCTGGTTCAAGGCCTCTGGCTTCTGCTACACATCAATACTGGATCCTCATCAAGATTCCTCTCAAATATCCTGTTCTTGCCCTGTGTCCTGGAGATCCTGTAGCTCTGGATCTGTAGGATTGGCCTCTGTCATGTGCTTCAGCACTTCATAGATGGGGTAGATGTTGGGTTGGGCCAACTCAGAGCTCTGGATCTGGGCTTGGGTGTAAGCTTAGTTTGTCAGCCCAACATCTCCTGCACCCATGCCACCAGGGCCAGCTCTCCCACTTTGCCCAGGTGAGGTGGGCATTGTTCTCCTGACCTCTGCACCTTGTGAGGGACAGGGCCAACTCGCTAGTTTTCTGAGCCAGCTCACTCACCTACCACAGATGGTGGAGGAGTGATGGGGTGAGGAACATCACTCTTATGCCTGTCCACTGCACAGTAGATAGCAGATGGGCCAGTTCCTGCCACCAGGGCTAGCTCTACTGTGCTGCCCAAGTAAAATGCAGAGTCCACTCTTGAGTGCTGCAGCTGGTGAGGGGTGGGAGGAGCTGAGCCTGCTGACCCATGCTGCTCAGATGCAGGGTGGAACCAGCTCAGCACAGTGCTAGGACTTCAACATGGCCTCAGGTGGCAGCCCAGACCAGAGACAACCGGATGCCTCTCTTACCTTCCCCACTCCCTGCCCCAGTAGCACCTCAGGCCACAGATATTAGTACAGACCCCAGCTGTGGTAGGGCCATGGAGTCAGACATGGCTTTTGGTGGTAGCCCAGGTGCAGATATCACATGGCCTCATGTGGTTGTACAGGCTCCTCATATCTGTCTGTTCCTCAGCACCATCAAGTCTCCAGTTCTGTATTTCACCATGGTGTATAAACCCCTCAGCTACATGTTCTGTCTAGCTCTCCACTGTGTTCTCTCTTTCCCATATCTCCTTCACATATTCACTCACTGCAGTGGCATCCTTGGTGGGTGCTTGGGTGTCTATCTTCCGGCTACTCCAGGCTCAGGACCAGGGGTTTCTGTGGAAAATCCTTTTAAGACTTCAGAATTGTATTCTAGGAGGAATGAGAATAGTGAGAAGTTTCTAAGTTCATTGTTAACAATCTTTGTATCAAAGAATTTCATTGTGAAATATTTAATATTTAGTTGTAGACTGTAGAACTATGCAGTTAAATGAACTGGCCTGCAGTACAGTATGATCAATTACATTTGGTAGATTAGTTTCCAGGATCATGATTTGGACTTTATGGAGGTTGATGACAGGAACTTTTGTTGTTGAGATCATCCCCAGAATTGTGAGGGTATAAAATAAACTCATTTCCAGTCCTCTTTAGGGGAAGACAAATGTCTGGACTGTTCATCTGCAAGTGTTCTCAGCTGGGAGTGTGGCTCAGCAGTAGTGATCTTGCCTGGTATGTATGTATGCCTTTAATTCAAGCTTTGGCAATTAAAGCAATAACTCAGAAAAAGTGGTTTATGCCTGCCAGTGGTGGTGCATGCATTTAATTCCAGCACTCAGGAGGCAAAAGCAGGTGGATCTGAGTTCAAGGACAGCCAGGGGTACATGGAAAAACCCTGTCTCAAAAAGATACACACACACACACACACACGTGTGGTTTCAAGTGGTTAAGAGGCAAGTTATAAAACAAACAGACTCAGTTTTCCCATTTGTATAATGGGGATGTTTGAGTTATCTGTCTCAAAATTCTTATGAAGTTTAAGTAGTAGCAGTGCTTGTCTGCTGTATATTAAGCACTTTGTGTATTTGACCTACTATTATTACCATTATCATGTATCATAATTTTTGTCTAATTTAACAAATGTAGCTCCTGCTAAATTTAACACTAAGAGTAATAAAGGGAAGTGTTTTGGTTTGAATGTGAGACGTCCCCTGTAGACTCAAGTGCATTAATACTTTTGGCTGCCAACTAGTGACACTATTTGAAGGCTGTAGAAACTGTAGGAGGTGGATCTTTGCTAGAAAAAGTAGGTCACTGGGGGTGGTCCTTAGAGGTTTAGTAAGGTGGTCCCATCTTCCTGACTACTGTGATTTGAATGAGAATGGCCCCATAGGCTCATATGCTTGAATGATTAGTCCCCAGTTTGTGGAACTATTTGGCAAGGTCAGGTAGGAGATGTGGCCTTGTTGTAGGAGGTGTGTCATTGGAGTAGGTGGGCTTTGGGGTTTCAAAAGCCCACACCATTCCTGTTAGCTCTCTCTGCCTTGTGATTGTTGCCTCAAGAGGTGAGCTCATAGCGGCTGCTCAAGAGCCCTGCCTGCCTGCCTCCTGCTGTGTTCCCTGCTGTGATATCAGGTCATGACCCTAACCCTGTGAAACTATAAGCAAGCCCTGAATAAACTCCTTCTTTATAAGTTGCTGTGTTCATGGTGTCTTACCATAGTACACTGACTGAGGAGGCAAGGTGACCAACTGCACTATGCTCTTGCCATATGTCTTCCCTGTCATGATGGGTGATGTCCCCTCAGACTGAAGCCAAGTAAACCCTTCTTCTCAAGCTGATTTTTGTCAGGATTTGGCACAGCAATAGGAAAAATAACGAGTCCAGAAGGTTTTCCCAAGGACTCTGTCACCAGCAAGACTCTTGAACCAGTGCCGCATAGTTGAGAGTGAGGCTTTTGCAGTCTACTGGAGAGCTGTCCCTGCCCTTAGCCAGCTTCAGGACTCAGGGGAGTGAGCACCCACACACTGTGGAATTTGCAGGTGAACTAGCACCAAGGATATGAACCTGGGAGACCTGGGCCTATCACTCATCTCTCATGCTGTGGTGTAGACGAGAGAGAGATACCTTTCTCCCCTCTTTCCCCTTACCACCTGTGGCAGGCAAGAGACCTGGCCTTGTGGTCATGAGAGCAAAGAGCTGGCCTGGGGCCTCGCCTGCTGCAGCACTTGGGAGAGCAGGCCCTGTACCTCATCTGGGAAGCACAGTAGAGCTGACCCTGGATGTGGGGGTTGCAGGTGAGCTGGCCCCAAGGGCATGAGTGTGGGAGAGCCAGCCCTGCCTCATATCTGTTAAGAAATGGATGTGACATAGGCAAGGGAGAGATCCCTTCCCCTCCCTTTGGTCCCAAGGGCAGGACAGCTGGCCCTGCTTCTTGTCTACTGAGCGGTGGCATGGATGAGGAAGCTCTCCTCCTCTCCCTCATCCCTTGCCTTTTCCTGCAAGCAGGAGAGCTGGCAACAGGGTCATGAGAGTAGAACTGCCCCTGTCCCTAACCTGATGCAATACTCTGGAGAGCAGGCCCTGCACCTCACTTGAGCAGGGTAGAGCTGGCCCTGAATCGTTGCAAGTGAGCCAGACCAGAGAGCAGGGGAGCCACTGGGCTGACCAGCTCAGACCTCTCAGGCCCAGATCCAGGGATTTGAGTTGGCTCCACATCTTCCCCATTAGTGAACTGCTGGAGTGCATGAAGGGGCCAGTTCTCCAGATCCAGAACTATACGATCTCCACGACACAGAGCAACAACAGGATATCTGAGACGAGTCCCAGTGAGGTTCCGGCAGTGATAGAGTAGCAGCAGAAGCCAGAGGCCTCCCACCACAGCAATGATTCATTGCAATGAACATTTGCAAGCAAAGAAATGTTGACAAGAGCGTGTACACACTGACACGCTCCAGCTTCCACAACAAGGGCTTTTCTATTTGGGGGAGGTGGCAAGGGTGGGGCATGGGTACGAGGGGAGAGGAGATGAGTGGATTAGGATGCAGGATGTGAAATTCACAAAGAACCAATAAAAAGTTTTAAAATTGTTCTTAGCTTCATGCAGCCCGACACACTTCCCTTTACTTGCCACTTGGTTAGAGTCGCCCACATCCCGTGTGTTCATTCATTAAGCGTTAGCCTCTCAGCTGTTGTTTCAACCTGAAGGCTTGCTCTTCCCTGGCTGGGTTAGCTGTGTGTTGTAGTATGCTCCATCTGAGCTCTTGCTTGCTGGGGACCCTAGAGGAGAGGAACCTTGACATACGCTCCAACAAAATTAACACTTCAAGGCGAGAGAAACAACTCAGTGATTAAGAACACTTGTTGCTCTTGCAGGACCTCTTTCAGTCCTGAGTACCCATATAGTGGCTTCTACCATCTGTGACTCCAGTTCCAGTGAGTCTGATGCCTTCTTCTGGCCTCCATGGGCACTACATGCACACGGTGCAAAGGTGCAAACGTGCATGCAGAGAAAGTACTCATATAGAATAAGTGTGTAAACGTTGGAGGGAAAACGAACACTTCAGCAAAGTGCTAGGCTCGATGAGTCTTTGCTGGAGAGACCGTGAATGTGTGAATGCTGAATGTTCCCACATATCTTATTTTTAAGTAAAAGGCAAGAGTCTTTTAAAAGCTGTGAGATGGGAGGAAATATTTTCATGCTTGTTATTTTGTTTGCTTTCAGGCGGTTCCTGTGTTTTTCATTTTGCATAATGTAGCTGAAGTTCTCACTTGTGTGTACCAGCAGTGTGTCTGGAAAGAGGTAAGGGATTAAGCAAGTTTCATGGCCCCTGCTTTAAATGTCACAGACCTGCTTTTTACTCAATGGCGTGTCCTAGTTAGCGTCACTATTGTTGTGATGAAACCTCATGACCAAGAGCCACTGGAGAAGGGGAGGACTTGTTCCATAAGAGAGTTCATTTCAAAAGCAGTAAGGCAGCAACTCAAGCAGGGCAGGAACTCAACTTGGAGGCAGAAACTGATGCAGAGACCTTGGAGGGTTGCTGCTTACTGGCTTGCTCCCCTTGGCTTGCTCAGCTTGCTTCCCTATAGAAAGATCAAGGATCATCAGCCCAGGGGTGGCCTCACCTACAATGGGCTGGGCCCTTCCTCATCAATCACTAATTAAGAGAATGTCCTGTAGGCTTGCCTGCAGCCTGATCTTACCGAGCTTATGGAGGCATTCTCAATTGTGGCTCCCTCCTTTCAGATGTGGGTGATGGGCCTGCGGGAAGCATTGATGGTCTGCTCAGGGGTGGGAGAAAAAAGTGCAGCCTAACATGGGGACCCTAGCTGGGGTGAGAAATGCCACAGGCTGAGGCTGAAGAGTCAGGAGTTCCCAAGCTCCCGGGTGTCCAGTCACTGCTGGAAACCACATGGAGTCTGAATGAAGGAGCCTGTGTGTCTGTATGAGGCCGGGGTGGGAGGGTGGAGGGGTGGAGAACTCCAGCTTAGCTCAGTGGGTAAATGTCCATGAGCGCAGAGGGGTCTTGTGCAGGAGACTTAGGCGGTGACTCTGTAGGACGAAGGCTTCCCCCACTGCAGTTCTTGATGAGAGAGACAGTCCTTGCTTGTCCATACTGTTCATTCAGTATTCATCGTGGAAAATGGGTGCACACCGCTTCCTCAGGGTGGACCAGAGATTAAATACCTTTTGCAGAAAGGAATGTCCGGGAATGATTACTTATTGGCTAAACCCTCAGGGCCTCTAGATACCTCATTAACATGGAGAACTCTGTTCTGTGCTGTGTGACCATAGGTCATGTTCTTTATGTGGAGAGTGTGGTCCTGGGTTCCAGGCCAGGAATCTGCTCAGGAATAGGTGAAACGCCTACTGTCCGCAGGTATGAGCTTCTGGGGTTTCTGAACCCACCTCAACCTTACCAAGTTTCCTGGCACTGGCCCACAAGACACAACTCAAATGTATGTCCTTCTTTCCACCAGTTTTGCAGTCAAGACTGTCTGACTGTGGTCACTGACCCGGGGAACCCAGCTTGATGATGGCAGATGCAGCTGGACCCCCAGCCAGGGAAGAACCAGACCCCAGGAGACAGAGCTGTGCCGTGGGAGAGCAGCATACAGAGCGTGACCCTTTGCCCGCTCTACAGAGATTGGCTTCTCTTTCCAATCCCTAAGCCTAGTAGATACTTCTGGGTCTTTGAACTACAGTTAGGGATGCCTTTGTTGGAGCATCTTCCTAGGCAAAGAAAGCAGAAGATAAGCAAGCTGTAATGAAAAGAGGTACACACAGGAGAAGCTAGACACAGGTGGGAGAATAGAGAAAAGAATAAAGGAGCAGTCCCACTGAGCCTTCGTCTACCCAGGCTCTTATTGGAGAGGGCATGAAAGTAACATTCTACACCCATACACCTTGGACACAGAAATCCCATTTTACATCCTCAGCCCAATCAAGTTAGAAAGTGACTGAAACAGTCCTTTACTATTCGTTTAACTTTGCAGTCTGAGGGTTGCCCCTGTAAAAATATTTGGATGGGAGATCTATTTGCCCAAGATAAATATTTAGATGGGAGATCCTTGACTAAGTTGTTACTGTGAGCTTAGCTTTGGGCCATGGAGGCGATTAAGTATATTTGTCAGAATGTTAGGACTACCTTTTAATTATGTGGTCAGTTTAAGGCCCAAGCTTCCCTTCTGATTTTTGTGTTTTGTTTTTAGACTCAGGTACCTCAGGCAAGCCTGGATCTTACTATGTAGCTAAGGGTTACAGGTGTGTTCCACTGTATCCCGTTCATGTGGTAGTGGGGATCAGACCCAGGGCTTATGCATGCACTATCCAAGCATTCTATCTGAGCCCCAAGTATTCCCCCCCCCGTCTCTTTCTCTGTGTGTACGTCTATGTGTGTCTCAGTGTCTGTGGGTTTGTGTATGTGTCTATGTGTCTGTGTGTGTGTATGTGTGTTTGTATGTGTCTGTGTGTATGTGTCCGTGTCTGTGTGTGTCCAGGGGGGCAAGAGTGACTATGCACATGTGAAGATCAGAGGAAAACTTTGTAGACTGAGTTTTCCTTCCCCATTTCCATGGGTCCTGGGGATTGAACTCAGCTTGCAAAACCTGGATAGTAAGTAAGTGCCTTTACCTGCTGAGCCATATCACCTGCCTCCTGGTTCATTTTGTAACCAAACAATGGCAGTGTGAGAGTTGTTTTCTGAAATGTTAGCTATTAAGTTTTAAGCTCTCACAACCATCCGTAATGAGATTGGATGCCCTCTTCTGTGTCTGAAGACAGCAACAGTGTACTCATAAAATAAATAAATAAATAAATCTTTAAAAAAAAAAAAAAAGTTTTAAGCTAACCAGGCGGTGGTGGCGCACGCCTTTAATCCCAGCACTTGGGAGGCAGAGGCAGGCGGATTTCTGAGTTCGAGCGTTCGAGGCTAGCCTGGTCTACAGAGTGAGTTCCAGGACAGCCAGGGCTACACAGAGAAACCCTGTCTCGAAAAACCAAAAAAAAAAAAAAAAAGAGTTT